CAAAACGAATAATTTCAATTTAATATAGATATTTTTAAAGATTTAGAAAAAAAAACGTGATAAATTATTGTTGTCGAATTGATCATTATTTGTTAATAAACGTTCGTACCCAATAGTGATTGGTTGATTTTCCTAATTTCATTGGTTATAACAAGATAATGAGAATTTCCTTGAAAATAAATGTAAATAAAAGTTTCCTGCCATAGAACCATCAATGATAAGAATTTTGTTAATTAGCAGTATCACCACCTATTGGATTTTTATTATGAAATCTAATAAGAGAATGAAATTCTCTTTATGGAACTTATATAATAAATGGGTCAATATGAAGTGGACTAGAATTCTAAATCGAATTCTTCTCTCATTTCCTATTGATAAAAATATCGAATTATAGGTAAAACGATAAAGAATAAAAAGGTATAAAAAGCAATGTAGTTTAGTTTTAAATAGAGTTTTGTTTTCATTGTAAAACAAGTTATAGACCAATATAGATTCTATATTACCATCGCGACATTTCAACTTAATCAAGAAAACCGTGATAAAGCTCATGAAATAATTCATTAGCTTTTATTTCTAATTGATTGGAAAAATTTTCCACAAAATCGTTTACGTTTTAACCTATATTAGAGAATTATATCGAAAAGTGAATCGATCAGATAGATAAGATAACTATTCTTCTTCTATTATAAACGTTTTTTATTTTGAAAATCTATTTTAATTGAAAGTCTATACTTTTGAAAAGGGCAACGATCGACATTTCACTCTACCAATATTCATCACATATCAATCTTTAGATTCCTATGCAACAAGACAAACTTCATGTTTAGTTTTTTTTTAAGTGAACTGCAACAACATCATTTTCTTGTTCGAAAAATCGATTAGACCGAGAAAGATAAACAAGAACAAATTATGTGCGATTTCAAAATCGTTTTGCTTTTTTAATTTATTTTTATCAATTTATTGATCATAGAACAATCTACACATCACATATTCTACTTATTACATCTCCCATTTAAACCTCTATTTAAATATATATATATTTGCAAATATGTTTTTGTGTACTCAAAAACGTACATAGACTCGAAAGATTCGGTCAGTGTGTCCGGCCGTTTACACGAGAACTTTTCAAAGGAGAGTCAGATTACCGATGAAATTTTCTTTATAGCTTAGTCTTAACAATGTCTCGGTCGAGAAAAAAAGATGAGAAGGATCGGCCGAGCCATTCGTGAGTTATTTCAAAAATAGTCATTTTTCCCTATGCTTTCCTATGCAAAAATCGATCCATTCCAGCTTTCGTAAAAGACTTTTCCTTGAATAATTAAATAAAATCCCAACTATTCGAAACCATTCGACAGAGAATTTCACGAGCTACAAAATCGGATATAAAACATAAAGGAATGAGAAGGCTAACTCACCTATTACAAAGATAATTAAACGGAAATAGGTTTCGTTTTTGTTCCCGATCTAATTGACTCACAATTGTAGGTCTATATTCCGATCAAAACTCTAATGATGAATGAATAGTCAACAGAAATAAACAGTTAATAGGAAAGGTTTCCCAGTATAATTTCTATATCCATAGATTCGTCGGATGACTCATATGTCTAATTGACGTTTTCTTCAATAGACATAACTCTCAGATTTAAATCCGAGGTTTCCACATTTATTTTTCTATTAAACTTATTGGAAAAATGATTGACATAATCGATTTTGTAGAAAATATTGTTGTTGGATCTTTTTAGACCCATTCTTACTCAACAGGATGAGCAGAGAGAATATTTCAAAATATAATTAATATGTGAAAAAACCCGTTTTTTTTTTGCATTTCTATAGTCTCAGGCGAAAATGAGAGGATTTTCAATTTTGATATCTTTGACCAGTACATGAGAAAAATCTAATATTCTCAATTTCTAATTTTGGTGATATGATCTCTCTTTTAGGCTAAAAAAAATCTGAAAAAAAAAAACGTTCGGTTCAAGCAGGTTGAATGGCGTTAGGGTGGATCCTCTATCCAATATGTTAAACATTATTTTGTTTAACTTTATTCGATAAAGGTTTAACCATTTTATTCTTGTTCAACTTGTCGATGTTCGAAAATCTAAAAAGTTCAGATTAATCTAGGAAAAAATTCGTTTCGAAACTATCTCGAAATATATGAGGGTTAGGTGAAGACATTGATCCTATTAACTGACACGTCTATATCGATGATAAATCAATTAAACAAATAAAACTAAGAAAGATTCTATAATAAAGTGTTATATTGTTATATTCTCTATTAACTGATTCTTAGTTTTATTTTTAAAAATATCTAGAAAAGTTAGTTAAGAAAAAAGAAATTATATTAAATCGAATTGATTTTGAGTTAGACCAATTAAAAACAAGAAAATAAATAAGTTATTTTATTAAATAAAGTTGACCGCATCGAATTGACAGTTACCAATACCTTTAATAATAAATGATCCAAGAAGATCTATTGAATTAACATTTCCATAAAATATCAACTTCTAATGGTGTATTCATTGGGAAATGACCTATTCGACGAAGAACTTGAGGATTATTTGATATTTCCATAGAACATTAAATAAATATTGATTTAAGTTGATATAAATCTCTATGAAATCGTTTTTTGTCCTTCTGATGAAAAAGTAAATGGTGTTGTTGATGCAAAAGGAAGTTAATCACTATATTCTATTACTTCTCTATAGATTTCAATTGATTTAAAACGATTATCTCGAGCTAAAACAGCATTGGCTACATTTCCAACACTTGATTGAAATGGAAGTTAACTTTTCCGAATTTTTTTTTTATTTTATTTATTAGAAATAGAAAAAATGTTTTTTTTTTTTGGTTTTGATAAACTTCCTTCCATGTTCAACTTGATGAAAAACAAAATCCAGAAGATGATTTCCTATTTAAAACTTGTTTGATCAGGTTTATTAAAACGTTTATTTATTTAAATAATAATTCTTATAAATAAGAAGATAAACAAATAAATCATCTGTAGATGAATGATATTTATTTATTAGAAGAATTGATTTTATTCTTTCAGGATTAACATGAACATATCGTGTACCTTTAACACAATATTTTCACTTTTCTTTTTAAATATTCAACAATTAGAATCTTTCTCAAATGTTAAACTAATAAATATATTTAACAAACAAAAAACAAAAATTCGAGCTAAAAAATGAATGAATTTTTATTAAAAATATTCTAAAAGGTTGACAGTTAATAAAGAAAATATTCTCTAGTAAGATTTTGTTTTGTTTCTAGAGAGAGTTATCATTTGAAAGAATAGACTAAGGATGATTCGAAATGTGAGAGTCCTAATCATTGTTTCATCTTTCGATCAGAGATGTTATAACTATAAAGTATCTTCTCACATAAATATATAAGGTTTTATTTAGTTCTTATCTAGTCTATCATCTATCATTACAGAATATATTCGGAGAAAAACATTTTTTGTTAAACTTAGACTTGAACCTTGATTTTAATAAGATAAATTATAAAAGAGGTCAATTATCCTTATATTGAGATGAACATTCAATTTCATGTTGAATGCACTGCGAAGCAGGAGCATTTATGTAGTCCTTCGCGAGTTTTCTTTCTTTATTTCTGGCTCAAGGTGTACATCGAAAGTTGTCATTTTCTGTTCGAATGATCTTGAGAAGGGAAAGTCAGAAAATACTCGTTGAAACGCGAAGTGCAAGTATCAAGATCGAACTCGTACCGTTTTTGTTGTCAGATGATCGATAGAAGCTATAGTTCGTCTATAATTCAACCTCCAAAATGAGGATTTTGGCAAAGTTCACAATTTCTTTAGCTATATATAAAAGAGGTGCGAATTACAGGTGATAGTAGATAATCAATCACTGAGATAATTAATTAATCAATAAAAAACAACTTATAGAAATCTATTGGTACGTTATCATAGAGTTTTTTTTGTGATGAATTTTATAATGGACGGATTTCATTTCGAGTCTAGATGAGATAATCTGTTAGATGAAAATGAATAAAAGTGTTTATCTAATAGAGTTAGTAGCTAATTTAAGTCAAAATAGCGATCAATATAGGTTAGAAAAATCGAAGTCTCGTTTTTTGATAAATATCGTTTTTTTCGATAATTCGAAAGATTGATGGTTCGCAGGGCATTTTGTACCATCTAGTAATTGATGAATTTTTTCAGTAAAAAATGTAATAATCTTATTTAAAATATTGAAAAAAAACTCTTACATAAAATATGTTGAAAAGTTAAATGTGTTCTATAATAATGAAATATTTCTCTATTATAAAGTAATGCATATATAAGATAAACATTATATTCAAGTGTATGTGTTAAACAAGAATTAATTATTTCTAAAATCATTCTGATAATATCTTCAATAATAGATAAATATTGAATATATTCATTCAAATTTTCATCATTTTATGCTATTATTGAAGATATTATTTGTTATTGTTGTTGTTGATGATGATGATGATGCTGTATGTTCTAGTCGAAATTGTTGTTGTATAAGATCTAATAGTTTTGAATGTTTAGGTGAAAGTGCATTAAATAATGAAATAATTCGTTGTGTTATAGATGTATGTAAATATTGAAATAGTGATGAGATATTTTCTAATGTAGATTAGACTATTTCTATGAAGATATTTATCAGTCATAGGTGCCATATTATATTGTATTCTACAAAGAACAATTGAAATAAGTAAACCAGCTAAACTTATTTCATTTATTGATCGTTGAATATACCTGAAATAGAATATCATTTTATACAGACAAGAGGTTCTTTCATTTTTGACTTGTTAGAAAGTATTTCTGACGGATAAAAACCTATGATTTAGGGCTAGAATTTTTTCTATTTAGAAATTTTCTATCGATTTCGTTTTATTCGAGAGTAGTGAGATAGTCTTTGAAAAGTACAAAAAATTGGATTGGACGGAAAATTTTTGTATTTTCACTCTCGCTATTCGAAACTAAATATTGCGGACTTGACGCACCTCAATTTTCATATTCCGTCAATACTCATTTTTGGAAAAATCAACAACTACTTTATGTTGAAAGGACGTTTGAAAAAGAAATGGTCAGGTTAGTTTAATATGAGATTTTCCATAGAAGTATCCTCTCTATAAAAACGATCATTTTTTAGGTCTTTTAAAAAGTTTCTCATTACTCTTGAACAAAAAAACGACACAATATTTCTA